GTGTGTGTGTGTGTGTGTGTGTGTGTGTGTGTGTGTGTGTGTGTGTGTGTGTGTGTGTGTGTGTGTGTGTGTGTGTGCAAGAGCACGTGCGCGTGCGCGTACACAAGACACAACTATGTATTAATATAATTCAGTTGCATTCAATTTTTTAACAAAAAATCATTCGAAATAGACAGCTCCCCCTTCACCCTTTTATTACATTGTTAATTATACGGTATTCATCAACTCGTTCTTCATCTTTAATACATTTTCCATACCATTAATACATCGTTGTGACCTTCATGTATTATTCTGCACGTTTTTATACAAAGATATCGCAAATATCATTACACTAACATCGTGTTATATACAAACTTACGGATTCATTATCTTCTCCTTTATCGGGTAGTTTTCCTTTTCCCATCTTCAGTTTCCTCTTCTCGCTGTCACCTTCTGGCTTCTTCTTCTTCTTTTTGACCACCTTAAAAGATATGAATAATTCTTGTAAACATGTAGCATAAACATGTAGATTAGAAGAATATGTGATGTGTAAGGGTTCGAGTCAGACGCCACGTCGTACGGTATAGTATAGACACATACATGTATGACAAGCGAATAGCAAGAAAGAGAAAGAGAAATCGACTAGGTAAAACGCTTCAGCTGATTACCGCTAGAAAATCATCCGAATATTTCGATGAGAAACTATAAAGAGATCGACACCGTAAACCCAGATAGATATAAATAGCCGTATTGTGCTAAACTATTTTTAGCGCTAGCAGTATCTTCACTGTGTCTAAGAGTATCTTACCGTGAGAAGCTATTGAGATGGGCAGACTAAGGAGCTTACTCGCATGGAAGCCCGTAACGAATGAAACGCCGTTTTACAAACACCTATTTTATATGTATTTTTATTTTTATTTTTGGCCTCTTACTGACTACACTACTGCGCAGGCATTTTCACTCAAAAAAAATCATGAACTGCTGAAACTTTAGTAAACTACGAGATGTAAGTGTGAGTTTCGGCCAGCGGCATTTAAGCAGCTATATACTGCATTTCTTGGGCTTTTGACATTCTTCTACTGATTTCTTGGGCTTTTGTGTTGGGTGCACGCGTCGTTGAACAGTGTGATTCCATTATAACCCGAAAATGAGAGAGAAATGTTTTGTAAATCTCCGATAACAGACATTATAATAGTTATGCATTTTTTAGATTATAAAATTATATAAAATTATATCTTGTCATCCAATATCTTATATACAGTGTGAATTATATACGCCTCGCTGTATTATTCTTGCCGCTGTGTTAACGAGCCTTCGATTTCACTCAACAGCATCTCCTCGTTGACAACACATATCGCCAACTATTGTGGTTCAACAGTAGGCTAGAACAAGCTGGTGCATAAATTACTATGGTCATGAGCAACTACATTCATTAGCACCATAGACGTCGACAGGTAAGATTCGAAGCAAAAATACTATAGGGCGCGTAGATAAATAGAACATGCCTCTGAGGTAAACATCGGCTTCGAGTTAATCTGCGGAAGTAAAAGCAACGCCATCCTCGAAATAGAACGGCGCCTGTATTGCAATTATTTTCGCAAGTAATCAAATGTCGCGAGCACCGCTGATGGCCTGTACGGAAATCACCCCACGTTGCGAAGCTCGAAGCAAGGAAAGCAAGCAGTTGTTTACGATATGCGTCGTGGCACGTAGTTGGTACACATGTGCTGCATTCTACGGCACCCTAACTACCATGCTACCGCTGTATGAGTGATGTTGAGAAAGAGAGAGCGAGAACGAGAGAGCGAGAGAGCGAGAGAGCGAGAGAGCGAGAGAGCGAGAGAGAGAACGAGAAAGAGAGAGAGAGAGAGAGAGAGAGAGAGAGAGAGAGAGAGCAAAGATGCTACAGCATGGCTGCACGGCATCAGAAGTACATTAGTTGTGCTCTTTATAGTTTGTTTGCTCGGGACAGCATATAATCATGCGTGCTGCGGAAACTCGCAGAATTATAATAGTTCCTTATATTCCATTATAACACGAAAATGAGAGAAAGAAATGTTGTAAATCTCCGATAACAGACATTATAATAGTTATGCATTTTTAGATTATAAAATATATAAAATATATCTTGTCATCCAATATCTTATATACAGTTGTAATTATATACGCCTCGCTGTATTATTCTTGCCGCTGTGTTAACGAGCTTCGATTTCACTCAACAGCATCTCCTCGTTGACAACACATATCGCCAACTATTGTGGTCAACAGTAGGCTAAACAAGCTGGTGCATAAATTACTATGGTCATGAGCAACTACATTCATTAGCACCATAGACGTCGACAGTAAAGATCTGAAGCAAAAATACTATAGGCGCGCGTAGATAAAAGAACATGCCTCTGAGGTAAACATCGGCTTCGAGTTAATCTGCGGAAGTAAAAGCAACGCCATCCTCGAAATAGAACGGCCCCGTATTGGCAATTATTTTCGCAAGTAATCAAATGTCGCGAGCACCGCTGATGCCGTTACGGAAATCACCCCACGTTGCGAAGCTCGAAGCAAGGAAAGCAAGCAGTTTTACGATATGCGTCGTGCACGTAGTTGGTACACATGTGCTGCATTCTACGGCACCCTAACTACCATGCTACCGCTGTATGAGTGATGTTTGAGAAAAGAGACGAGAACGAGAGAGCGAGAGACGAAGAGGCGAGAGACGGAGAGGAGAGAGAGAGAGAGAGAACGAGGAAAGAGAGAGAGAGAGAGAGAGAGAGAGAGGAGAGAGCGAGAGAGCGAGAAAAAGAGAGAGAGAGAGAGAGAGAGAGAGAGAAAGAGAGAGAGGGAGAAAGAGAGAGAGAGAGAGAGAGAGAGAGAGTGAGAGAGTGAGAGTGAGAGAGAGAGAGAGAGAGAGCGAGAGAAAGAGGGATAGAGTGAGAGAGTGAGAGTGAGAGAGAGAGAGAGAAAGGGAGAGAGAGAGAGAGAGAAAAAAAAAGAGAGAAAGAGAGAGAGAGAGAGAGAGAGAGAGAGAGAGAGAGAGCAAAGATGCTACAGCATGGCTGCACGGCATCAGAAGTACATTAGTTGTGCTCTTTATAGTTTGTTTGCTCGGGACAGCATATAATCATGCGTGCTGCGGAAACTCGCAGAATTATAATAGTTCCTTATCATGGTATTTATCAACACAGCTTATATTATATACAATACACAATACAATTTTAATATTAATACAATACAATACAATATTAATATACAACACAGCCAAGAACGCACTAGTCGATCTAAACGATTTCAGAGGAATAGGGATGATGGGATCATTTCATCGGATCACTATAGGTCCCATGCAAATAAAGTTTATCTCAGTTAGAGGAGAGATGGACAAAAATTTCGTCAGTGTAAGTATTTATAACTTATTTTGAGTCTAACTGAGATAGACTTTATTTGCAAGAGGAATAAGGAGTTTTTTTGTCCCTGAAAATAACTGGTTTGTCTCTCCCAGCGCATGACCTTCAAAACGAATGCAGGGCAACTTTAACCACATGCGACTATGTTTATAAACACTGCGCGAGGGGAGATCTACTAGATGCTATTTTAATCCTCAAAATTGTCAACTCGGAAAAATCGAATTCCCCTATGCAGAGCGGCTGAAGATGAAAATCAGAATATGCCTACAATGTTATGGTCCGTTGTGTTTTTAGTGGGGGTGGGGAATCGCTGCTGCAGGGGGTGTTATAAGTACGCATAGAAAGTATTGGTAGAAAAACAGTGTCATCATTAGTATCTAGTTGCGAGAAAGAGCGCCGCGATGTTGATAATATTTTTCAATATTATCGATACATTTTTGCGCAATGTCAGATAGAGGTAAGAATCGAGGTGCGGAATATGAAAGGGAATGTGTGAACTTTGGAATATGAAATGGAATGGGATTCATGAGCTATGGAAGTATCCCAGAAATAAATAAACTATGGAATATGCAATGAAATCGAGTAGGGATAGAATGGAATGGAATGGAATAAGAATGGAATGCAATGGAACCGCCTATTAAAATTATTATACTGGCATAAACATATAACCCTTGTTGTGTTGTATTAAACGTTGGCTTATTGCTATTGATCCATACTAGAAACGATTTGTGATCAACCTTTTAACGTGCAATACTTTTTAACATCTACACTGCATAGTACAGATACAATAATTATATACATAATAATAATAATACATAATAATACATACAAAGGAGTGCATTAGGAAAACATAATAATACCTTAGGAATCCATAAGGTGTACACAATAATACATAGGGAGTGCATAAGGAGTACATAACAATAGGTAGAGCGTACACAAGGAGTACATATTGGCTATTATGTATTCTTGATAACGTTCCATTCTCCCCACCCCTCCATTCTCGTCTATCTCTCTCAGATCCCTCTTCCTTCGTTGCAACACCTACCCTCTTTTTGTGTGGGGTCTCGTCCTCCTCCTCCTCATCTTCCATCCTGGGTATATTGATCTCGTGTCGGATTTCCGTCGACGCGCGCCTGTGTGTGTCCGCAACATGCTGAGCCTCTTCAAGCTCCGCCTGAAAGCAGAATACATGTGTCAACCTCGCGCCTTTGCAGCATCTCTACGCATTTCAATTTCCTTGCATAGAGACTCGATATGTCTAGCCTATCTCACGTAGTTTTATATATCATATCGCGTACTATCTCTCTTTTTCTTTCTCCCTTGAGCCATCTTTCTCTTGCGCTATCAGAACGCAGGGGCATAGCAGAAAACATATGGAGAGAATATGATACGAGAATATAAAGAAATTGTGAATATTTTGTAACTTTGGCAATACATTTGCGGTAGAAATGGATACAGAAACGATAAATGTACGATAATGTAAACGATAAAGATATGTATGATATTGAATATTTACAGCAGCATGTTATTTCTAAACAAGTGATTGTAACGTAATGTTGATAATATATTGTGAAATCTATCAGTTATCTAATCGAACCGGTGAATTGAGCGATATATACGTATCATATAAATAAACAGTGTCACGATAAAAAAAACGAAGAACATGCAAAATACACATGCGACCCTTGTGACAGCTTCTACCCTGAAAGATGGTAAACTTGATTGACTGGGGATGTGGCAGGAAAGACGTCATTGTGATGGCTAAACTAAACTAAACAAATACTGTTGTTGTAAATAATATAACAGACATCGAGTTATTACTAATTGCGAACGATACAAATCAATAGAACATACTAGATGAGATACATATCGATTGATGCATAGATTGATTATTCGATGAAACGAGAAACATGTATTTCATTAATCATACTTTTCCCCATTCCAGGCAGGTATGTGATGGCGACATTGAAATAGAAATGTAAACTATCAAAAACATGTGATCGAATCATTGTCACTGATTCGATCACGTGTTTTTAATAGTTTACTTTTTATGATTTATTGATGGTCAACATAATACTAAAATATAACCCAAATGTTTCTGCATATATTTATATTTAACTTGTATCATGGCTATATATAGGCAACAAAGTAAGCCGTTTGTATGGATTGATACGCTAGCTAATTACGCCTTTACATGATTTCTATAATGATAACCATTCTGGCAGTGTGCCAGAAAATCGATCTTATACAATAAGTACCATCATAATGTTTTCATACTCTACGACAAGCAATTTAATGCGGAATGTAATTTAATGACTCAACCCTCCGTGGAAGTGTATTGTGAAATTATTGTATTCTCATAATAGAAATACCTATATACGAACGAGCACTGTCGACCTTGCGTGTAAGTTACCGCCCCGGTCATGTCTGACGACGAAAAAGCAATCGCGGGAGCTGTTTAAATATATATTTACAGTTGGCTGAGTGAGGCCGCATGCGTATATATGCCAATATTCTGCCTGGCCGGCACGGATCGGGTTTCTCTGAGCAATCGCTGGAATGCAAACGTTTTTGGAGAAGACACTTAGGACGAGTACCAGATACGAGTCTCGGTGCTACTCGTAACACTACCACGCCCGCCGATACGCGTAGGTTCGCTGTGAAGTTGCAGCGAGTAAGCGCGCGGATACGCCGTGTAAACACAACCGTGTATTTTTTTGTTAAGAGTTGGGGCTGGACGAAAAAAACTCGAGCTTAGTCGTTTCACGCCAGACTAAACCGAGCACGGAGCGCTGTAAAATATAAATAATTTAATTTCGAAATAAACCCTGAGTGCTTACTGATGCGATATTTTCGATGCTTCGACTTCGATACTCGAAGTTCGATTTTACATTTGTTTACATTTAGTTTTATAAATGCACAATGAAATTTCAGCATATTGTTCTAAAAACTAAAACTACTTATTAGTTTTAGATGTCGCCCTTTATTCCTCTCTCATCCTTGTTTTCTTTCCATCACTCTCTACCCTTCTTATTCTTCTCCCTCTCTCCATCTCTCTTTCTCTTTCTCTCTCTCTCTCTTCTCTCTCTCTCTCTCGCTGTCTTCCTCTCTCTCTCGGAGCGCGGTCTCTCTCTCGCGAGCGCGCTGTGCGGCGCAGAATGTGGTGAAGACCGCGATGGTGTACTGATGAAGGAGAAACGAGGTGCAGTCTAGACTGTGTGTGCTCGACGGACAGTGGCTGGCCTCGGCAGCTAGACCGGGCTTCGTCGTCGTTTTTTATTGTATTTTTTTAATATATATAGGGTCTGTCATAAACAGACCGCGCGGAGTCGCATCAAGATAGTAGTGAACACGTAAAAAACGGCCACGCTCACGCCGCCATCTGGGTTTCGAGATCCGCAGGAGGTCGACACTCGGCACGTTACACCCGTAACGCAAAGGTGAGCGTTGTATTTTATTCCATACCGGCGGTTTGCGTTTGTGTTTTTCCCGAGTGAATTTATGCTACGTGTGTGTGTACGTGGGAGCATGGGAGCGTGGGTGCGTGAATGTGTGTTACGGTAGCGGTAGCGGTAGTGTGTATGTGTTTGTGTGTGTGTGTGTGTGTGTGTGTGTGTGTGTGTGTGTGTGTGTG